CTGAATTTGTGGATCTAAAAAACATATAATGGGCGTGCCAAGAGTGGAACTGTGGTACTCTATGAGAAAGTCAGGAGTGGCAGAGAAGTGTATGAAACTCCAGCAGCTGGGTGGCAACCCAGGTTCATCTGGTTGAGCTAGTTTGGCTGCTAAATCACATCAACAAAAGATATAAAAGTCTTTTCTAAAAGGAGGAATGAGGAAGGCCTAAGGCACAGGTAAGGCAGGAGGAGGCACTGAACAAGATATCTTTACACTTCTCAGATAATTAACCCTCATGTGTTTATTTCTTGTTAAACAGTTTGGTCTTCCCACCCAAAAATGACCTCCCCCTCAAGACTCATCACAACAACTGTAGTAACAGATATAGTATCACTGCTTGCTGTGTTCGATCTTTTTATCAACTTCAATTCTTTTGAACATTACATGGTTTCTTTTTTTACTTCCGTTTATTATATATAGAAAGTCTCATTAATCTGGGCTTATATAGCTTGAATTCAAATTCCAAAAACACATAATTTCTGTGTTATTTTGAAAATAAGAAATAATCATCAAACATACATAGTATACTGTTAATCACAGACTACTTTGGGTCAAAGTTTCCATTAACATTTGCTTTGAAACCATTTAAAATTTGTATACATCAAATAAAGCAGAGGTGTCAAGCTCCAGGCCTCGAGTGCCGGTGTCCTGCAGGTTTTAGATCTCACCCTGGGTCAACACACCTGAGTCAAAGCATTAGTTCATTACCAGGCCTCTGGAGAAATTCAAGACATGTTGAGGAGGTCATTTAGCTGTTGAAATCAGCTGTGTTGGCTCAAGGATACATCTAAAACCTGCAGGACACCGACCCCCGAGGCCTGGAGTTTGACACCTGTGAAATAAAGTAACATCTGTTGTGCTGCTGGTCAAAAGTGATTGCAGAAAATTATCTGAAAGTTACACTTGATTCTGGCACGGCTCCAGACCAGGAGGACAATTAATGAAAAACAATAATGTCTTATGTCTCTTGAGACCTCCAATCAATCTCCAGAACCACAAACTTCAATTGGTTCTTTACAGGAGAACCGTCTACACGTTTCATGTTCCACACATAATTTGTCCTGGCATCACACGTTGCCCACATCTTTATGGTATATTTAACTGCTTTCTTGGCATTTCCGTTTGAAAGGTCAGCGTCATCTAAAGCGACCAGATGCTCATCCACTGTGATGTTTGGATTGGGGACATAGATGATTGTCTTGTTGGCCTGTTTTTTGTCACGGTTGTCAAAGTGAATCGCCGGTAAAAACATGTAACATTTCTGGAGTGACATGGTGGTCGAAAAAATCATCTGGGCAGACTCTGTATCACATAAACTTTATTTGTCACACACACAATTATACAGAGTACAACATGTAGCGAAATTCTTGCGTCCGAGCTGCAGATATTGCTGCACCATTCCAGGGCTTGGTTTTAGTATGGCAGGTCTAGCCAGGACGCTTACTGGATACCGGGTGGAAATCGAATTGTGACTCTCGCTCCGAAGGTGTGTAGTCTTACCACTAGACTACACATTACTAGATGCATGCACACCACTCAAAATCAAGACGCATGTGTACTTTAATGTCTTTCTGGGTTACCTCCTTCCAACTGTCTTTGTTGTACCTGAAGTTATTTACACTCATTGTTATACAAAATGGAAGTGTAATGGAAGAAAAGAGAGAAGGCCACTAACCACAGATCATCACACACTGAGTGTATGGGTCACATACAAACACATTCATTTATACAATTAATCATTTCATTTCCAAAGGACCATCTTCTTCACATTTTTATAAACAACCCTTTTTTAAGTTTATAAACTATTGCAGTAGTGATACTGTTACGTCTACACTCTTAACCCTGGACTCTAAACAAGACTTTATAGAGTCTGTGTGGAAACTTTCAATTAAGTAACAACTTGAAGTCGTGACAGCACGCAGACTCGTTTTAAGAGGCTGATGGCAGGAATTTCAGACAAACAAAACTGAAACATACAAAGGTGTAATCATGTTGTCAGGTTTGTTTTGTTTTTATTTTCACAGAAATGAAACTCCTGGCTGACTGGATACATTTTCAATGATGAGAAGAAGTAACCAGATAACATGTTTTACTATACTTGTCCAATTTGAATGTAATTTGTGTTCACAGTAGTTGGTACTTTACAGTTTTATAGATTCCTTTTTGTGGTAAAAGTTGTTAGTGTTTGCACAATGATTACAAATTTAAATCACATTTTAAGGCAGAAACTTAATAAACTTGCCTTTTTAAAAGCAGAACTTTCAGATAAAAATTTGACTCTTAGAACAGAAACCAAACACATATAATGTCTTTTTTTGTCTCACACAGTCACCACAGGCATTTTATTTTCTAATGGTAAAGAATGTTCAAAGACAACCCTTTGTTATGTACATCAGATTCATGACAGCAGGGAGGGAGTCACAAGACACCTGCTACAACCAGTTTCACATGCATACCAGAGAAAATGACGTAAAAACAGTGAGGTGTCACCGTGAGGATCTGGGGCTGGAGAGCTTTCAGTGTGTGTCATTGAATGTGTTGTGCTTATGGGTTGGTAGAGCAGGTCACCTACTAACCGGAAGCTTGGGGGCTCAATCCCAGTCTGTTCCAGTCTATATGCCAAGATAGTACCCCCCATGTTGCTCTCCGATGCATCCATCAGAGTATGAATGTGTGTGAATGTTAGATAGGAATTAGAAACAGTGTAGAAGAAAGTGCTTGGGTGAATGCATAAGTTGTGTAAAACGCTTTGAGTGCTCAGATAAAGTAGAAAATCGATGTATGAGAACCCGTCCATTTGCCATAATGCATGCAACTTTTTTTTTCTGTTCAGCTTGAAAAACCAGCACAGTATGTTGTGAGAATTCACTGCATCCTACCACCTGTGTAAATCATGATATACGCTATAAAAAAGCCACATGTCATTTGGATCTTTGGTGTTGCCTGAACACAAAGCCACAGCAAATCCAAAGAGGTCTTCTGTAATCCATAAAAAACAAGTATGTCATGTCTCTGTGTTTCGTCTTTGTTTATCCCCAATCCTGTGTCAGGTTTGGGGGTTCGTGTACTTCCTGTTTTACTTTAAAGCCTTATTATTTTTATTTGTAACTTACAGCCTCGCATCCTGTGTTCAGCGGGTTTAGTTTTACTTCCTCCTGTCTCCTCATGCTTAATTCGTACCCCTAGTGTTTCCACTTCCCCCATCACCCTTCTCCATATATATTGTGTGAGTTTCGTTTTTTTCCTTGTTAGGTCATCTGCTTATCACGCATCATGTTCTCTCAGGAAAGCTACGTTGAATTTAGTGAAAGTAGTGTTCAGGAGTAGTTCTCCAGGTTTTTTGAAGTGCATTTAAAGCTCTTCTTTTGATGTTTCTTCCTTTTCTTCTCTTCTATGTCAAGATGATCCCACGCTGCTACAATAATATAATAATGTTGAGGTCCACAGTCTTCGGAGGCCAGTCCATGGCTGACGTGTGGTTTTCTTTTATCGTTTTGATACATGCTCAATCATCCAAATAAGGAAACCCCCAAAAGTTGATTCTGTCTATCTGGATGTAACGTTTTCATTGGGAGAAAACAAAAGAATATTATATCAAGAAGGCCCTGAGTAAAAGTGATCATCCCAGCAGGATATTTGTCCAAGCTGGGAAGGCTGCTAAAGAAACCTCGAGGTGATCCAGGAGAGAAGAAGGGCAACTGCTGTCTAACCAAAAACCGTTAGTCATCCCATATGTGTCAGGAGTATCAGAACAGCTGAGACACATTTTTTCTAAACACAGAGTCTCTGTGGCTTTAAACCCCAAAACATGCTGTGCCAAACATTGGTCCACTCCAAGGATCAGGTCCCCTAATGAAGCCATTGCCAGTCAGACAATTTCCAGATAGTTTTGCATGTTGGATCAAAATGTGATGGTAGTTTTCTGAGTTTGTAATTGAGGAGGTGTTTAAGATCTCTTATTGGAGTTGAGAACTGACAGAGGAACTTTCAGAGAGATGATTACAAAATGTTTGCCAGTCCAGGAGAATGCAAACATTTCCTTTAGTGTTTAGTGTGAGTAGACAACATTTTCTGTACACATAATGCAGCTGAACCTGGTTTTGGAAATGGACAGATGAAAGCAGTTTCATTTTTCTAACTAAAAGGTTTTTTAACTCGAGGCCTCGAGGGCTCAAGGGGGTTCACCTAAAACATCAGGCTTTTGCAAGAATATGTACTAATACTGAGTGACTCTGAGATAAATAGTCTTACATTGTCTATTGTAACGTGAGGGTTCACTAGATGGTTTGGAATCTCTCTGAATAATTAGGAACAGCAAGATGGAGACTGATAACTTTCTTAGCAGCCTCCTTACTCTCAGCACACAGCAACAACAACCAACACTTCCTGTGTACCGCTCTCATGAATACTTCACTGGCCTCTCAGAAGCTAGGAAATCTTATACTCAGATCAATGGAGGGAAAACAAGTAGGTAGCTATAATACATACTTATTACTGCTTTGAACATGCATGTGTAAACATTCAAATGTGTAAATATGTATATATATATCAAAACACGTAACCACCAAATAGCTACATAACTAGCTCTATAACCCTTGTAAACACCTCTTTGTATATCAAATTAGATTTAAATTTACTTCTACACTTTACAGTATGTATAACAATTTTCAATTAATCAATAAAGCCCTTAGACTTTATCTACAGTGATATTACTGTTCTGATCACAGTAATTTCAGAGAAGATAAACCGAAAGTAAACCTGTTCTACATTGTTGTTTCCTGGTTCAGGTGATTATGCTTACTGAGGGCAAGTAATGATAGAATCTCTGATTTTTAATGGAAATAAACTTGTGTGACTGGATACACTTTTAGTGATTAGAAGATGTGATTACAAAACACACTCTACTATTCTCGTTGAAATTTAAGATAATTTGTGTTCAATATACTTGTGAAATGATCAGGTAGAAAAGGGGAGGAGTTAGAGTGGTCACATGGTCAGAAATTGTTATAAAATCCTGTCAGATCTTCAAACGTCCCTTTTGATCAGCGACCCAGCTCTGCTGCCTCGTAGGTAAGTTTCTTTGTATCCTGTTTTTATACTTATACTTTGTCACAAGGGTTAAAACGCAAATCAGAGTTTCTGTGGCAGCTTAGGCAGTGAGGTGAACAATGTAACAAACTCTATGGATCAAAAAAAGCATGTTTGTTTCAGCTTTACTACTATCAAAACACAAAAAGAAAAGCAATGATTTGGTATCAGCTTATTTGGCTCAGATAGCTTGATGAAGTAAACCTGTTCAGTACTGTAGAGCAGTGTGCACACACATTAATCACCTCGGGCAATTTTAAAAGAAAGCTTGATAAGACAACACTTTCCTTGCACAAGAAACTGAAACAGCTGGGAGGACAAAAACAAGAAACATCTATAAAAGTAGGGCAGATACCTGCTGCATGTAGTTTCACAGGGACACAAGAGTGAATGATGCAATAAAAATTAGATTTGACTGTGATAATATGCGGCTAGAGAGGGTTCAGTGTATGGTATCTAACATGCTGTGATAATATGTGTAATTGTTAAGAGAATTTTTATTTTAGTTAAATCATTAAAGTATAATCAAGTAGAAACAAGTATGCCTTATAAGTGTTTATATATTTTCACACGGTAAAGCTTACTGTTGAAAAGAACACAATGTATTCCTTGCTTAAGTGTGTGAGATGTTTGACAAAGACAGGATATACATGCATTCTTTACTTCAGTGTCTGCGATGTCAGATAAGCATGAATACTGCTGTGTCGTTGTTTTTCAGTTTGTGTGCAGAAGTTAGATAGCTAAGACAATGCCTGAGCTCTCCCCTCTTCAGTTGAAAGAGGAAGTACTATGTAACCCATTTTGCCTTATAAATAAAGCGAGTAAACGGTGCTCGGTGTGTTAGTCTACTCAGAGACTCTCACCCGTGCGCACGTCTTTGAAACTCTGAGTCGGTCTGCCAGTGTCTCATTTCTCTCATACTGTGCTTTTACAAATGTCAACCCCTTGACAGTAATATATTTTCTATTTAGGTTGAAAAATCGTAACAACTTTTTGTGAGAATCCAGTGACGTAAATCAGCTCAAACCAACTACAACCACAACCACGATTCATCAGTCCGTTACCATGGAAAACTATCTATTTTCAAGCCATAAAAAGCAAGTATTTTACATCATCTCAGTCTGGATATTAACTGTAACTGTCTCTAAAATCTTTTCTTCTTTGTTTTTATTCCAAGTGTAGCATATACAATTAGGTCCCTAAGTACTTGGACAGAAACACAGTTTTCGTGAATCTCCCCTTTGTTCGATTAAAGATGTGGTTGAAGTTCAGACCTTTAGCTTTAATTAAAGTGTTTTATTAAAATTTTGCATTCAGTCATTGTTCAAATAATTGCAAACCTGACTGTATATTCTGTTTCCCCATATTAAGTTAAAATGTTAATGATCTCAATTATCTGTTACAGGTACCTGGCTATACATACCAACGGTAGGTTAATAACGCTTCCTTTTATGGGCTCAAATTGTGGTCATAAATATTTTGTACTTGTCAATCAGGATTTGTATGTGTAAAAAGAATTTGTGTGTGTAAAAAAAGGTTTGTGTGTGGACTTAGCCAAAAAATACGTGTGAAACTCTGCACTTAAGTTTCAAGTTACAAGTATGAATTTGGCCCGATGTTTCTTCCTTTCATCTGATTGGCCAATGTCTTGTCAATCACAAATTTAACTATCCAATCAGAGAACAGGTGGGTTTGGCTATTGGAGGGGTGCTTTATGGAGCTTCAGGTCCTTCACACATACTTTTTTGGCTAAGTCAACACACAAATCTTTTCTTTACGCACACACAAATTGTCTTTACACAAACAAATCCTGATTGACAAGTACAAAATATTTATGACCACAATTTCAGCCCATATGTTTTCCTTTACATTTTCTTGAAACTTGGAAGTTAAAAAAAGAAAGTAGTAGTTACTTTTATCTTATTTTTTGTCTTATTTTTACTTGTCTCTTTTAATAAAAAAAAAAACACTTTTAAGTTAAAGTTAAGGCACAAACCATACAATGTTCAATTAGACTTTTTTTTTTCAATTGCTTATTTTGAATTTGATGCCAGCAAAACATTTTGCCTATAACCTCCTATGGTTTTGTCCTTTGTCCAGTCTTCTGTCCTTGTTAAGGCAATGTAAGAAACATTCCTCTGTTCTACACATGAAGGACAAAGTCAATTAAAAACAGTTATGATGATGAAATGGAAATCACTTTGTCAGGAGATAAAGCTCATCAGCGCATCTGTTTAGACTAAGTCCAAGCTAAGAGCAAAAAAAGTGGAATGCTGTCAGGTTTTTGGTCATACACCAATGAGAATCATGATATATATATATATATATTTATTTATTTATTTTTTTAAATGTATTTACTGGTGCTTCATTTTTGGAGAACATTTGTTGCTGGCAACAAATTCAGAGAGAGTAAATTCAGGTTTTCTTTTTATAATTTTTTTTAAAGGAAGGAAAATGCTAAATATCGCAGGTAAAAAAGTTGATGTATCATATTATTAGTTTAGTTTTTGTTCAAACAGTTTGCAAATTCATGGATTGTGTTTTGACTCATTTATTTACTTTCTGAGGAAAGTTGCTTAATGTGGTTTTAACTGGGATACCATATAGAAAATCTTTTTTGTAATTTGGATCATCCAACCCTTTAAATAATGCAGTTAAAGCAGTTGTGAATTCCTTAATCATACATTTTTTTACTCTTTTTACAGCTAAGAAATCAGCACCCTTGGTCCATAACAAAAAAAATCACAGTTTTAAACACAAGCAAAAAATACTCACTGCATTTACCAAAATAATACCACAAATATCATCCAGTTTTAATTATCTCCATAAAGGTGACTTCAACTTTCGACGTGTTGTCTTTAAAAATTGGTGTGATAAATCAACTCAGGTTCATACTGTATCCAAAACAAAATCTAATAACCTCCTCAAAAGAAAATACGCATTTTCAAATGTTTTTACCGCTCCTAAGAAATCAAAAAGAAATCATGAATATATGAAATTCTCTGAAATTCTTTCTTCTTCAAAAATTCTCAGCATACCTGGCAATCAGATTTTTTTTTTATCCGAAGTTAAAAGTTTCAATGCACAAATTTTTTCTGAGATATTGACAGCAGCTGAAGTGAAACATTTAAATGATAAACTCAATACTTGTAGAATAGAAGAGCAGAAAGAAATGAAGCTTAAGGATGAATGTAAACCGATTCATCGACAGAATAACAAGGATGAGAAATTTTATCATTTAATAATTGAAGAAATGCAGAAAAAAATTGCAAGTGTTGATCCAAACAGATTTTTTCCATTTCTGAAAGAATACCTTCAGAGTAATGAACAAAAGCAGTATGCATTTGCTATTGTTGTCATGAAACATAGTAAAAATATCATTGTATCTCCAGCATTTAGGCCAGATTCTAAAACCCCAAAAACCCAGAAAACAAGAAAACATAGTGAACCTTATTTATGTGAAGCTTTTGAACCTTTTTTGCAACAAAATGGAAATTTAGTGGAGACTATTCTGATTTATACATTCAACAGTCCATGTTTAGGTTGTACTTCTCTACTTCTCGAAAAAGCTTATCTCTGGCGCTGTAAATATGGATTTTCCACAACTGTAGCATTCACACAATTTTACGGATTAAGTGGACAAAATTGTTTCCAAACTCTCACCTACTCATCTACCAACATGTTAGGTCCATGCGGTGTGTTTTATGAAGACAGTCAAAGATGTAAGTGTGATCCCTTCAAACTGAAGTCTTTCACAGTCACACGTAAAATCTTCCAAAATATCAGGAAACTTAGTGAAAAAGAAAAAAAAGAGAGCTGCCGTAAGAAAATTGAATCTTATGTGTCTGTGCTGAAAACACTGGCAAAAAACTCCTTTTGTTCACGTGAAACACATTTACAACGTGGTGAAAACACAATTTATTCTTTCGTATTTCCCCCAATGATCCAAGATGCATGTAGAGACAGTCTTTTAAGGGACTGGTCAGCACTGGTGAACGACAGTGCCATGTCTGTGATATGCCGTAGTCAAAATACTCCCAAGAAATTTGAAATTACTGTGGCAAAAATTAGAGAAAAAATGGCTATCAATTGCACTAATCCCACACTTGAACTTATTTACCAAAATCGTATCTCCTCTTGTGAGACCAACAGTCCTTTAGATCTTTACCATCTTCAAAATAAACCATAATTAAACTGAAATTAATAAAATTAACATTAATTTTGATTAATAATAGAAAAACAATTATTAGTAATTAATTAATAATATAATAATTAACCCTAAAACACTATCACTATAAATAGTAACACCATCACTAACGCCGGGTGATTTTTACTCAATATAATATACCCAACAAGAAGTACTTGGCATCAAAATATATCAAAATATGACAACACATGATCAATTAGAGTGGGCGTCTTTTATTTCCAACTGTGCCATGTCAAACAAAATGGAAAAAGAAGTGCCATGGGGGGACCCTAAAAAATGCTCCAACATTACTGAAAAATTATGAATTTGAGAACAAAAAATTCCTTAACAAAAAAATAATGAATGGAAAATTTGAAACTTCTCTGGTGAAGGCACAGTCTCCTCGACAAGCGCACAGGTGCAGGATAGAGAAACAAAAAGTTGTACTTTGTTGTATTGGTGGGTAAAAACTAAGTGAAATTCACCCAAAACCTACTTTACCCTCTATCACTATTGCCAGGTGAAAATCATACATGCCTGTAAAAAAAAAAAAAAAAAGAAAGAAAAAAAAGAAAAGAAAAGAAAAGAAAAAAGAGAGAAAAAAGCAGGCTGTGCCTTCAAAGACGTCAAAGACAATGCTGAAGCTACCCAAGGACCCATGACACTCAGACAAACGCAACATATTCAAAATCATTTAAATATATTTGCTCAGGTGAAAATCACCTGGCGTTGTTCTAGAGTTAATTAATAATTAATAATAAACCCTTTTTAAAAACATATATTAAATTATATATAACAAGATATATAATTTAATAGATATTTATATACGTCCAGAGTAACAGCCGTAGACCGCAGTTTGCCGCCTGTCAGGTAGTCAGTAATCCAGGGGAGCTGAACTCTGAGAGCAAACAGCCTGGTGACTGTAGCGTGCCGAGGGGCTCACGTGGATCTGTGGCTGAATCTGGAGCTGAGACTGGACGTGTTCAACGAGGACTCCTACGAGGCAGCAGAGCTGATGCGCTGATCATTAATGGCCGAGGCTGCTCACACCAAAGGTGGGTTGATGAGTTATAAACTGTAATAATATCTTGTAGCTTGGAACAGAAAAATCTCATCTTTGTTCTCTGTCTTGCTGCCTCCTCCTGTTGGTTTGTGTGTTAGTGAGTGGCAGGATTCTCCAGTCCAGTGAGCACAGCTCCATCAGCTGGTGGAGTTCAGTCAACACACCTGCTCTCAACAACCAGCAGTGTGCTCAAACATCGGTTTCTCCTCCATCCTGCACGATGTTTTACACTCCAGAAGCAGTAAATCAGGATTACATCACCTCTCTGTAGAAGGAAACTTTCCAAGTGTCCTTAATTTGGATTCTTGTGTCCTTCTCAGTTCCTTCCTGGTGTGTGTGCTGGACTGGATCCTCTGGCTCGGTGCCATCCTTTACTTAATAAAAATCATTGAAACTTGTGTCACTCGTCTGAGTCTGCATTTAAATCCATGTGTTCTGGTTCCCCATGTCAAAGATGTGAGCCACAAGCACAAACCAAACTAAATTTAGTCCATAAAGGCAAAAATTGCAAAGGGAATGGGTATGAAAAATCTGTAGTAAAACAAAAGCCTGAATGTTTGTCAAAAAAAATTGTATGAAGTTCTCTTTGGGTGGGTGACTATAACCTACTCAAGGTGGCTCTGGAGGAATAGATCCACCCAGAGGGAGCAGAGAGGCTTTTCCTAGATTGAACTAACTGTAAGAACCTCAAGTTCCTTCACTTGCCAAGAAGCTAAACCCAAGACAAGCCAGGTGGGCTCATCTTTAATATATTTAATTTCACATGTCATATAGGCCATGCTATAAGAACACAAAACCTGATGCACTCTCTCACCTATGAGTCAGATTCTTCCACTGAACCTTTGACCACGGTTCTTCCAGCCTGCCGCTTTGTGGAAGTCGTTACCTGGAAGAATGAGGAGAAGGTCAGGCAGACTCTGAGGTGTCTGTCAGGAAGAATGCAAAACTTTCATTTAGTGTTCAGTGTGAGTGCCCGACATCATCACGAAGCTTCAAATGTTCATTCAGTCATGACAGTCATAGCTCTGTTCTCTGAGTGTCTGGTTCTCTGATCTATGCAGCCTGATGTCAAAAAGTGTGTGAGCACCACTGTTATGGTGGAGTTTGCCCCATTTGTCTGTTAAACCTCGATGAGTTTCTACTGTTGAAGGCATTTTTATTTTCTAAACTGGCAGCACACCAACATCTGCTGCTTTGATGGACTTACAGCAGACCATTAAAACTGAGGTTAAATATTCAGCCTCACTGATTTGTTCAAGTACTCGGCTGTGCCTGATTACAAATTTGAGGTTCTCGCACTTTTCTACACTGCAGTTCAAGTTAAAATATCCTTCTTCTTCATTTTGGAACACATTTAGCTTTATCGCTTCAAATAACTGACAAAGCATTAAAGCCCACCCACACAGTATTTTTCTCGTGATGATGTCAGGGATTTCAGAGAAACAAAACTGAAAGTGAGAGTGTTGTACATTATAGTTTCCTGGTTCACTGAGGGCTAATCAAGATGTAATATCTGGTGTGTTTTTGAATGCTTAAATGATTCAAAGTTTAATGCTGAGTGGCTTAAAAAAATTAATCTGAAAATGGAAAAAGGACCTGATTGAGAATGAGTGAAAAAGCAGCCAATGACCCAAAAATTAAAAACAATTGAAAGACCTTCAGAAATCCTGATGAACTATTACTCAAGACCACTTAAAAAAATTACAAGAATGACTGGTTGGCAAAAAATATATATAAAGAAATGAGGAGCAGGTCAAGACTTTTGCACAACACTGTCCTCATATCGACTGGTCGAAGGTTTCCAGCTGGTGCTACAGAACCTTTACAGAACCAGATACTTCACCACACAGAGCATCTTTACTTCCTGTCGGCTGATGAACCGGAGACCATGGAGACCAAGTACAGCAACGTGTCCCTGGCATCATTCATTAATCCTCCTCAGCAGCTGATTCTTCTTTGTAGTATAAAAGGATGTCAAGAGATTTATTCTAAAGACACTTCTTCAGCTGAGAGTCAGAGAGTAGAAACACACACGCTGCAGTTTTTACTTGCAGAGTGCTCACACCAGAGTGGGGGCCCTGTGATGTGCACTCTGTTCTTGCACTGGTCTTTATTTATATACAAAAATAATACAACAGTGAATACGTCTATTGATAGACAGATGAATGTTAGTGCGTATGTAGGTGTATGTATGTGTGATTCTGAAGGACGCGGCCCCTCTTCTTGTTAGGGAGCGCAGATAAAAGTGTCCAGCTCTCCTCCTCCTGGTAGGGAGTGAAACTGCTTGTTCAGCTATTATCGCTGTGGGAAAGAATTTATAAAACAGAACAAGTCTTGTAGTGGACTACAGTCTAAGTCATAAAAGGTCATCATGCAGTATTCTATCACATGTAAACTTATATCATTAAAAGCTTATACTGACTACTAAGTACAAGTTTCCATTGACAAAGGACAAATTTCTTTACAGTTTCATTTACTTCAATTAAGCACAGGCACCTGTTCCCTTTAATCTCTTCAGCAGTTGAAGTGTTACAGAGCGCTAAGATTAACTAAAGTTTCAGCTTCACTAAATTAAATCTGTGTAACGTGATCATTTGGACAGAATAAGAGAAGGTGATGAATCAAAGATGACTTTTTGAACCTGAAAAAGGCCTCGACCTCATCTCCAAAGCTTTAATGTAGTGTTGGTGTTAGTGCACTTCACTGTGTGTGCACTGTGTGTGCACAGTGTGCTGCTCTCATTTTGTTTTAAAACATTAATTCATGAGCTGCAGCTCGTTTGCTTAACTGACAGTCGTAGCTCTCAATTCTGCTGGTCGTTCAGTCAAACTGCTTATGAGATCTATACAGAACTACAACACTACAAAGAGTGTGTGAGCATCACTGTCATGCTACATTCTGTTTAAACCTGCTGATGGCAGCTTAAAAGTAACATTTAAACTCTTTTTTTTTCAGACTCATTGTGGTTACATGATGACAACATTAAAATGGTGTTTTGCAGAGTATACACTAATATTGACTCACCCCAGCTCTAAAGTAGACCTTATGAAGGCAATATAACACTTTTCAGTTTGCCCACAAAGCACTTAAGAACGTCCAGAGTGTTCCTGCAATGACGACAGTGATTTCAGAGAAACAAAACTGAAAGTCAGAGTGTTGTACATTAAGGTTTCCTGGTTTGAGTGCTGAGAGCTTATAAACATGTAATGTCTGTTTGTTTTTACTGAAATAAAGTCCTACATAGTAGATACGCCTTCAGTGGTTAGCAGAAGTGATCACATAACACACACAGCGCTGTTTAGAAAGCTGTGAGAGTTGCGAAAAAACCAGGAAGGAGGGGAGGAGTTAGGCTGACCACATGATCAGGAATCCTCATAAATTCTGTCAGACCTCCCAAAACTGCCCTTTTTGATCAGCGCATCAGCTCTGCTACCTCGAAGGTAAGTTTCTTTGTTTATTTGAAGCTTTTCTTTGAATTATAATCCAGTCACAAGAAGGAAAAATCTGACTTATTCCTTCTTGTGATTATAATTACTAGAGAAATGTCACAAGGGTTAAAGATACAAATAAGAGTTTGTGGGGCAGCTCAGACAGTCAGATGAAAAAAAAAAAAAAAACCATGGCTGCATCAGCACAAAACACTCAGGGTTAAAGCTATTAGACAAAAAGAAGCCAAACTAGTAATGTAAATGTGTTAGTTTTTCATACATCTATAAATCTCTCTATATGTCTATATGAATACAGAGCTCTCTCCCTCTGTCACGATCTCTTGGTGAGTGCAGATCGTGTGAGGTTTGTACGAGGACCCAAACATAGACCGCAGGAGACAAGGTAGTGGTTAACTAAGGGCGTGCTGTTTATTTAGGCAGATTTTCAAAATGTGAACTCAGACAGGAAAAATCCAAAATAACAAAAAACCAAACTGAGAAACACCTAAACTGGGAGAACTAAATAAGTAAACACAAAACACTAGAATAATCTTGGAGGCAACACGGAAACACGAGGAGGGATTCACTGGAAGAAACACAGACAACTCCCGGGAGGAACACAACACACCGACGAAGACGAAGGCAAAACTGACACAATAAATACACACAAGAGGGTGATCGGGGAAGTGGAAACACACGGGGGGAACAGCTGGGACAAATTAAAGGTGACGAGACAGAGCGACGCAAAGTAGAACACATTGAACATGGGACGCAAGACTGTCAAAATAAAACAGGAAACACACAGGCTTGACACAGCAGCCGGCATGAACAGGGAGGGAAAAGATGAAACACGAGGAGAGGAGCAGGGCAAGACAGGTGAGACTAAACACGGTGACACGACTAAGACACAGAGCGGGCAAAAAGAGATGAAAACATGGAGACACAAGACACACGGAGGGGCGAGAGACAAATGCAAACACACGAGGAGGAGACAAACACACAAGAGAAACCTCAGGGAATAAATCCTTATAAAGGAAAAACCAAAAATCTCAATACAAATATGATACAAAGAGCAGCATGCAATAAGCTCAGGATGCTCCTGACACCCTCTCTCATGTAGATGCATGGACTACTCAGTATTTGGGTAAAACTATATTACATTTTGAATATGAATGGCACAACATGACTGCGTCATTTATATTCCCAACAAGTCATCTCACGGCATTCAGTTTCTTTTGTGTAAGACCTTAAGAGGAACAGAAAGTTGAGTCAGGAAACTTCTATAAAACTGCAGGGCGGTAACCTGCTTGGACATGCAGACAACAGTGAATGATGCAAAACAACGAGGTGTGTCTGTCATAATATGGGGCTAGCAGCTTTCAGCGTCATTCAAAGTGCTGTAAGGTTGTAATATTGTAACACATAATATTGTTTTTTCTCAGGTTGAAGTCATCACATCTTATCAGCATCCACTGAATGCACAGTCAATCAACCGTGTATCTCAGTGTATACCATCTATACCAACACCACTGATGTTGCTTGACCTCAAAGTCAATTCAGCATGTACCCTTGGGATCCACAAAAGGCAAGAATCTTATAACAGTTTGGATATTAACTATAACTGTTTCTAAATAGTATGCAGTTAGGATCATAGGTATTGGGAGAGTTTTGTAGTATTTCCTCTGTATACCACCACAGTGAATTAAAGCAATCAAGATGTGGTTGAAGTTCAGACATTTAGCTTTAATTTAAGGTGTTTAACAGAAGTATTGCATAACCTGAATTGCAGTCATTTTTTACACTTTGTTATAAAATTACAAAGTTTTTTCTTACTTTTTGATCTGTTTTCATAGACTGCATTTCCTCAAATCAAGTTGAAAATAATCTCAAATCTTTGTCTTTTTTCAGGCCGGAAAGGCAAATGAGAAAGATGAGAAAGCTGGCACGTTACAGCTGCGAGGCTGTTCGCACCAAAGGTGGGTTGGAAGTGAAAAATCTAATGTAGTGTACTATTTTAAAAAACAACCGTAAAGTCAAAGTTTGTCTGGGTGTTTGGGTGTTCTAGTGGAACGTATTATTACATGATTTACATGTTACATGCAGCCCTAGTTTTATATATAATATATATCACAGGTTCTGGTTAACAAACTGCTTCTGAATGTCACGTAGAAAGAGACAGGCGACTCAGTCGCAGACTCGGTACGGCAGTTCAGTGCGTTTATTTACAATGAGTGAGCAAATGTGCCAGGGAGTTAGTGGTCCAAGGG